ATCGTGGTACCCGAAAGGAAATTACAATGTTAGTGTGTTGCCTAATTATCATGGTCCTGAAAATAAAGTTCCAACTGTAGCGAGTTTTCTGATTATCGTTGTGTGCAAATGGAAACTACAATGTTAGTGTGTTGTCTAATTATCGTGGTATGGAAATGGAAACTACAATGTTAGTGTGTTGTCTGATTATCGTGATACGGAAAAGAAAATTACAATGATATTGTGTTGTCTGATTATCGTGGTACGGAAAATAAAACTACAATGTAAGTGTGTTGTCTGATTATCGTGGTCCTGAAAAGGAAACTACAATGTAAGTTTGTTGTCTGATTATCGTGGTACAGACAAGGACGTTACAATGTTAGCGTGTTGTCTGATTAACGTGGTCCTGAAAAGGAAATTACAATGTTAGTGTGTTGTCTGATTATCGTGGTACGGAAAAGGAAATTACAATGTCAGCGTGTTGTCTGATTATCGTGGTACAGAAAAGGAAATTACAATGTAAGTGAGTTGTATGATTATCGTGGTGCAGAAAAGGAAATTACAATGTAAGTGAGTTGTATGATTATCGTGGTATGGAAAATGAAACTACAATGTTAGTATGTTGTCTGATTATCGAGGTCCTGAAAAGAAAGTACCAATTGTAGCGAGTTGTCTGATTATTGTGGTACGGAAAAGGAAATTACAATGTTAGTGTGTTGCCTAATTATCATGGTCCTGTTAATAAAGTTCCAACTGTAGCGAGTTTTCTGATTATCGTTGTACGCAAATGGAAACTACAATGTTAGTGTGTTGTCTGATTATCGTGATACGGAAAAGGAAATTACAATGATATTGTGTTTTTTGATTATCGTGGTACGAAAAAATGAAACTACAATGTAAGTGTGTTGTCTGATTATCGTGGTCCTGAAAAGGAAACTACAATGTAAGTGTGTTGTCTGATTATCGTGGTACAGACAAGGACGGTACAGTGTTAGCGTGTTGTCTGATTAACGTGGTCCTGAAAAGGAAATTACAATGTTAGTGTGTTGTCTTATTATCGTGGTACGGAAAAGGAAATTACAATGTAAGCGTGTTGTCTGATTATCGCGGTGCAGAAAAGGAAATTACAATGTAAGTGTGTTGTCTGATTATCGTGGTACAGAAAAGGACATTACAATGTTAGCGTGTTGTCTGATTAACGTGGTCCTGAAAAGGAAATTACAATGTTAGTGTGTTGTCTGATTATCGTGGTACGAAAAAGGAAATAACAATGTTAGTGTGTTGTCTGGTTGTCGTGTTACAGAAAAAGAAATTACAATGTTAGTGTGTTGTCTGATTATCGTGGTATGGAAAAGGAAATTACAATGTAAGTGTGTTGTCTGATTATCGTGGTACCGAAAGGAAATTACAATGTTAGTGTATTGACTAATTATCATGGTCCTGAAAAGAAAGTTCCAATTGTAGCGAGTTTTCTGATTATCGTGGTACAGAAAAGGAAATTACAATGTCAGCGTGTTGTCTGATTATCGTGGTACGGAAAGGAAATTACAATGTTTGTGTGTTGTCTGATTATCGCGGTGCATAAAAGGAAATTACAAGGAAATTACAATGTTAGTGTATTGACTAATTATCATGGGACGGATTAGAGAGGTTCCACGGAATTCCAATGTTAGGAAATGACTAATTATCATGGTCCTGAAAAGAAAGTTCCAATTGTAGCGAGTTTTCTGATTATCGTGGTACCGAAAGGAAATTACAATGGAAGTGTGTTGTATGATTATCGTGGTACGGCAAAAGAAATTACAATGTTAGTGTGTTGTCTGATTATCGTGGTACGGAAAAGGAAATTGCAATATGAGTGTGTTGTCTGATTATCGTGGTACGGAAAAAGAAATTACAATGTTATTGTGTTGTCTGATTATCGTGGTACAGAAAAGGAAATTATAATGTTAGTGAGTTGTATGATTATCGTGGTACAGAAAAGGAAATGACAATGTTAACGTGTTGTCTGATTATCGTGGTACGAAAAAGGAAATTACAATAATAGCGTGTTGTCTGACTATCGTGGTACGGACAAGGAAATTGCAATGCTTGCTTTTTGTCGGTCTGCAATTTTTATCATGAAACGTTAAAAGAAATTCCCATGTTAGCGAGTTGACAAAATACTGTGGGAGAGAGATGAAACACAACACACAAGTCATTACAGTCCGTGGTTGTTCGTTTTAACAACTTAACATTTTTTTCACAACAGATTTTGACAAAGCCCTACGCAAATGCCACAATTTATAGGCTTCACGTGAAAGACCAAACACTTTACCATTCGTGCCGAAAAATACCAACTATATTTGCGACTTGTTCCATTTACAAAAACGTGTGTGTGAATCAGAAGCTAGCATTAAATCTGTTCACATACCAGTACTGACAGCTCCATATCTGACACCTGTACAACACGTGTAAACCCTACTAATTACTACTCAAACATGGAATACACGTGTCTGGTACACAAATTACCGCAGGCTGTCGAGCTATCACAAATAAATTAACTAATATTGGTTGTGTTGAACAAATGGATCTCGACCACAAATGAAGCCCCTGTCTTTAAGGAGGCTCAACCCTTTCGCAATTAACCAGCAAAAAGCGTTGAAATTTTCACATAATAGTTATGCAAATGTGTAGAGGTGATTCTATGAAAATCTAAGCATTCCGATAGACTGGGGATATTTTGGAAAAAAATACCAAAACATTGAGTTTTGATCAATTTAAATATTTTCAAATGTATCGGTGTGTGGAATAGTTCGGAACAATAACAACAATAAAAAATGAAAATAAGTTAATTTACCCTACACACGGTTAATTTATCATAAAATATATAAAACACGTTATGCAAAGTGTGTTTTATTGGAAATTGTATGGATAACAGTGATTATCTACAAGGTGAGAGTTGTCTCCCTTAAAAAAAACGGAACTGTTTCGCTGAGGGATGAAATTTACACAGTGACATTTAAGTCTTTTTTTTAAAAATCAAAAATGATTGAAATACATTAAAATTATGATATCAAAAGTGACAATTTATTGTTCCTTTATGGAACCATATTACTCTAAATCATATACACTTTGGAATTCATTCCACAGCCCACTAGCGCCTAGAATATTTACATGTCAGGTACATATGTAATCAGAGACTTGTGTAATGTCGGTCACCTGGATGTCTGTTTTTTATGTATTAAACTAGGGGGAGATAAACTAAGAGGCTTGTAGTCAGTCTAGAATCACTCGTGTGATCCGTGTACTGTAGTTTTTTGTTGCTGTATGGACGATTTATTCGCGCGTTTTTGGACCATTTTAATAGTAATACAGAAAAAAAGTATTTTTTTTCCATGTTGAAGCAAACCAGACGATATTAGATTCACAGTTGAAAGCAAAGTATCAGGTTTCAGTAACATGCTGGAATTGACGCGAGCACGTGATTTACGTTCATTACGCTATGTTTATCATTTTCGCTTAATTAATTCCCTCGACATTTATAATAGACTACTCAAAGTTTGTCTGCTTACGGGCTTTAGAGAGTTCCTCCACCTCACACGCACCCCACATACCCACCTTTAGACACGATCCCACCACAGGGGTTCGTTACAAATGTTTGAAATACACATTTTAGCTACATGTATACTGATATGTGTTACTAGCACACATAAACATGTATGTATTTAAGACATTATGTGTGCTGTGACCCATATCAGTATAGCATATGTGTAATTCAGACATTATGTGTCCTGTGACCCATAACAGTATAGCATATGTGTAATTCAGACATTAAGTGTCCTGTGACCCATATCAGTATAGCATAGTGTATTTCAGACAATATGTGTTCTGTGACCCATATCAGTATAGCATATGTGTATTTTAAACATTATGTGTGCTATATATAACCCATATCAGTATAGCATATGTGTAATTCAGACATTATGTGTCCTGTGACCCATATCAGTATAGCATATTTGTAATTTAGACAGTATGTGTTTGTGACCCATATCAGTATAGAATATGTGTAATTCAGACATTACGTGTGCTGTGCCCCATATCCGTATAGCATATGTGTATTTTAGACATTATGAGTGCTGTGACACATATCAGTATAGCATATGTGTAATTTAGACAGTATGTGCTGTGACCGATATCAGTATAGCATATGTGTAATTTAGACAGTATGTGTGGTGTGACCCATATCAGTATAGCATATGTGTAATTTAGACAGTATGTGTTTGTGACCCATATCAGTATAGCATATGTGTAATTCAGACATTACGTGTGCTGTGACCCATATCAGTATAGCATATGTGTATTTTAGACATTATGTGTGCTGTGACCCATATCAGTATAGCATATGTGTAATTCAGACATTATGTGTGCTGTGACCCATATCAGTATAGCATATTTGTAATTTAGACAGTATGTGCTGTGACCCATATCAGTATAGCATATGTGTATTTCAGTCATTTGTAACAAATCCCGGCGAGTCCTCATATCATATAACCTCCTGATCAGATAGTTTGCCCCTCTCCCCCCATTAGTGGAAGAACATGTGGTACACACTGGACATATGTGCATAGACACCAGCGAATCACACTGTGAAGTAAGTGATACCGCAGCTGTAGTTTATCCTACTGGTATGCATCACACAGCACGTGCCAGCGCGCGGTCGTGTGCCGTTATCTATATCAGTATCTATTGGGGATGTATGGGGAAAGTATAGTCAGCTTTAATCTCAGTATCTGCTAAAAAAACAAGCATTTACAAGTCTTATTAACACATGAAACCCCTGTAAACTAAATCATCCTTATTTCCAAATATGAATATTACACAATTACCAGTTTGTTCTCTCATTGTAAACATTGTAAGGTACTAAAAGAAACCAAATCCGAAAGTTTTGTTGTAATCTGATGAAGTTTGCCGATTCCTCTGATCATAAGAGATTGGGTTACCTGTTCCCTGTCTGCAGTAAGATATGGAGTACGTACAGATACATGCTTTTGTATATTGAAGGCTTTCTGTTGTGGAAATTCACGTGCGCGCTGTACGTGCTGACTGTTTGTTTGAAAGTGTGTTTTACTCGACATAGAATACTAAATAGGCACATTATATTATACGACCAGATTTAATACCAAGTGACCATGGAGACGGTGACAGAGCTTGCAAGATTTGGTGATGAATGTTTAAAGGAGAAAAACTATGATATGGCGATCAGTGCATATTCGTCATCTTTAAACAAAGGTGGTCACCCGCATCAGTCGGACGTGCTGAAGAAAAGGTCCAATTGCTATTTCCAGGTCTGTAGTTATGAGTGTGCCTATGACGATATCATTGAAGTTCAAAAGACGTCTCCCAGATGGATAGCGGGATATCGATACGCAGCTAACTGCCTCTCTAACTTGGGCGACGTTGAAGGTGTTTGTGAACTCTACAAAAAAGGTCTGGAGTCAAACAGTGGAAACGTAGATCTCAGAAATAGCTTAGCAGATGCAAAACTGAAAACGGTGGGAGAGACCTCAGAAGCAGCGAGTAATAACCCATTAAGCACGTACAAGTTTGACTATTATCCGGGAGATGACCTTCGTCTCAAAGAGGAAAAGGAAAAACGTGACGTCATAGAGAGTGAAAAATCACAGTCTGAAGTACGTCAGTCACAAGATCGATCTGCCTCAGAGCTTGTAAAGGATTCATGGAAACACAGACAAAATGGCGACCTCTTGAAATCTTCAGAAAGTTTATTCTCAGCAGTACTGAAGAAACCGGAAGTGGCATGTTTACGACAGGTACTTGGTGATATGTACTTCCGTCAAGATAAGTACGAAGAGGCTTTCAGATGTCTAAACGCTATACCAAGCAATGGGAGATCATTTGACGCTTGGAGAGTTGGAGGTTTGTTAATTATTAATAATATTCTTTTTTTTTCTCATAATTAAAAGAAAATAGAGAGAAAAGAAACACAAAACAAACAGCTAAATATGGAAGTTCACTTGAAGCTTTTCACATTTTAGGGATTGAACATAGAAATGTAAATGCAGTCTTATATTGATAACACAGCCTTTTGCAGTCGACGATTTTAATGATTTTTGTCATAAAAATCATAATATTAATATTAATATTTCAGACATGTTGTTTTATAATATAATTGTTTAACATGTTAAAAAATCTAGCTGATACGATAAACAATATATCGATTAACACTACAGGTTAGGGGGGAAGCTAGGATGTTTCTGCCATGCTGTCCTTTTTTTGTTTTAAGGTAAAGTGTTACAGGAACTTGAACTTCCGGTTTCGGCAGAGATGTGGCTCCGCCAAGCGGCGAAAGTTGGCGGTAAACGAGCTGAACATGCCTCGATGTTGTTTCAAGACATCAGATCGAGGCGGTTATATAAAAACCTGACGACCGACAAAAATGTCGAAGTGAGATTCACGGCAAAAGGGCGAGCATTATTCGCCAAGGAAGATATAGCTAAAGACAAATTAATTTTTGATGACAGACCAATTTTATTAGCTCAAACAAACGACAGTTCAGACATTAGAGCCTGCAGCACCTGTGCGAAAACCTTACAAACAGCAGAGGAATACTTTGGTAGGGAAAGTTTCGACAAGAACCCTGCACTGAAGAAAATCACAGAAACACATTGGCCAAAATATGACGTCATTTCCTGTTTACATTGCGACCAAGAGTTTTATTGCAGTAACCTCTGTCGCGAGTCTGCATGGGAACAGCATCATCAGATCCTGTGCACCTCTGTCAACGAAAGCGTGAAGAAGTTGTATGACGTATGTGAGCAGTACAAGAAGTTGATGGAGTCGAACCAGCGCGTGTTGGAAGGTGTGTGGAACGCCGCGTTCAGCCCCATGCTACTAGCGCGACTTTGGGCAACCATTGTCTGCGAAGCTAAGCGACAAGCCAAGACACGTGGAGCTTCAGTTCCGGAGGATCGGGACTGGATCAGAGCTAAACTCCCCTTCAGAAGGTAAATGTTCATGTTAACGCTCTCCAGTTCAACAAGTAAAGTGACGAAAATAGTGATATCCCTTGTCAATATTTAATGTAAATGACTACTTGTGTCAAATTTGTTATGACTTATACTGGTTAAAATGAAATGAAATGGTGCTTTGAATTGTTCAAGAAATAATATATTTATCAATATCTATTGTTAAAACCGTTATCAGTATAGCTCGTTAACTAGCCAGTTAATTGTAATTTTTAAATCGTAAACTAGTTGATAATGGTAATTGCGTTTAAACACGAATTCTCGCTGGTGTTCGTAGATGTTTTATTAAACATATTTCATCAACAGAGAGAAAAAATAATCCAAGAGAATTGGCACAAGTTCTGACAACGTACAAGACCATCTCCCAACAATACAAAAAGTTAAAGGCTAAACAGTGTTATATACTTAATTAACAAAATAATTTTGGACATAGTCTTGTCCCATCCTATATAGTTAAAGAAAGATAACACTTAGTCGTGGTGATTATGCGGTTTATCAGATCACAGGTGATCGAAGTTTTATCAATATGGTACGTGCCTCCTACCGGGATAAAGCTCGTATACAACCAGCGTTCACCAGGTCAATCTTGAGCGCTGGATTTGTAGTAACTATATATTTCGCCCGATTTCGGAGATAACTATTCTTCCCCGGAAGTAGGGACTCCCGTTCTTAATTACAAAACGGACGGCTGTCCGGAAATAACAACTCAGTACATTATAAAGATTTTACAGATGACTGCCCGGTATTTCCAGATTCAAATTATTTATTTCAAACTTCATGACCAGTTATACGTTTTTGTAATATAACACATGTATTCTACGACTGTGTATGTATATGTACACTGTAGGTATTGACTGTTATAGTGGAGGTAATGTCTATCCTGGAACCCATACATTGACAGTCGATCTGGATCTATGATACCTGTATGTTAAAGCGTATCAAAGGACATTTTAGCGCTTTATATGGAATCGCCAATTTCCCGTTTGGAATAACTTAAAGAAAAGTAGTAAAGCAATGCTTAAATATACCTAAAATTAGTGGAGACTTATCTCAGACACCCTGATTAAATAGAACCCTGCAGTATGTGTATAAATAATATACATATTTAGAACGAAAAACCTGAGTTGAAAGAAAAATGGCTTTCAAGCACTCAGCTTTTTGTACTGAGACTGAAATATAACGTACACTTAATGTATCAAGGACTCCCGTATCACTACCGAAAACTGTAGCAATGCTTTAGAAACTCTTTCTGGTATGGACTATACAGTTGAAAAGAAAACCTTACTTTGTGGAATTTGTATGAAAAAATAAATAAATGAGGAAAATAATTAACAACAGTGTTTTGGTTGTAAAAATCAAACGGGGTCAGATCATATGTAAAGCCCTGGACTTCCGATCATTATCAAATGATAGTCTACCAGAGTCGCATACATTTTTATCTCGAACGAAATTAAGAGTTACTGTATGTACGAATGACATTACAAACATTCGTTCTTAAAGCATGCACGTTCGCTTTCTTTTAGCTTCCAGTGTTAGTGTCTGTAAACTAGTGACAGCTTTATTTGATTTATAAATGCATGGCAAAGGCTACCAATGGCCTTTTCGATCAATGGGACCTGAACATTCTTTTACAGCTATTATTAGACCTAAACTTCGGTGCTCAGAGTAATTTGATACGTTTTAGGGTTTAGATACATTTTTGGTAAAATGCCACCTCAATGATGATATATATTCGGGTGGCATTTTTGATAGAAAATTAATGGTAACCCCTTAAATGTATAAAATGTCATCTGAACACCCCAGTTTCGGTCCAGCTATAGCTATACCAAGTTATCAAGTCCCTGTGCAATTATCTACATCCCAGAGGCTGTCTCGGTATAAAACGTTGCTTACCTGGGGTTATGTCTTTCTTTCCTTTTAAAAAAAAGATCAACATCGATTTAACTTTTGGAAGATCGAATTAACTAACACCCGTCTGTTGTTGTTTTTTTAATTTGCATTTTTTCAAAACTGATGAAAAAAAATGTAAATCGTCTGAATAGGCATTAAATAGCATCATCTGTTCGTGTTAAAATCGAGTTTAATTGCCGAAAAAAAAAATATTCTGAACAAATCTAATGTAGTTTGTCATCTATATTAGTTAATTTTATAGCATGTCTTCTCTCTTTCTGTTCCATTGTTTACAAGAATACAAATTACTGAACTATTTGTAAAAAATATTGGCATATTTATGCATACTTTGCTATCTCTTTCAGGATTTCTTTTACATATCAGGGTACATTTCACTAATTAAATATTCTTGTTGCATTTTGGTTTTTTTCAGGTTTTATTTCAGTTTCGTACTTCGGAGGTTAGTTCCAAAACCAAATCTGGCGTTGTCGGTAAATTCAGAGTTCCTCGTGGTGTAATGACCCCCGATCTGAGCATGCGTCAGTACAAGCCGGAGGTGATGTACTTCTGTAACATCGCTTTGGCTTAAATTATCTCCCTTGATCAATAAAATTACATTTTTCTTGAATTATCCCCCTTGACTAATGGAGTTATCGATCTTGATTAATGATAGATTGCTCTCCTGGTCCCTTGTAAACTAGATACACCCCACCCCAACCCCATAAAACCCTTGTCATCACAAACACAATCAATGATACCCGATATTGCAAATCAATGTATTTTCTGAATATACAACGTTCACAAAATATCATAGGCGAGTACATCTTGCACAAGCAATTTAAGGAAGTAATATAACCACTTAATTGAGCCATTTCCTGGTTTACCGAAAGTTACTGGATAGTTTTTGTCCTACACATAGATAATTTAAATGTATACCCTCCTGTTCCAGTTTTGCATGGTCCTATTGTCTCCATTTAAAACCTATAATGTAATTAATATCAAATAAGTTCTTTTTCACCTGTAAATTTTAGCTCATTTCTCGGTCTTTTAACATGTCCCTCTGTATATGGATTATCGCCCCTTAACTTGTGCTGTCGATACCACTTTTCATGCCTTTCCAATACTAGTACATGGGTGAGTTGAGATTTTTCGTTGTAAACATACCGCAAATAAGCAGCACATTTAACATTTAAAATTATTACATACATCTACGTTTGATCGAATTGTAATGATGATACCAAAACGTGTATTTATTACAAATTCCTCCCTCAACGTACCTTACCCTTTTGTCAAAATCAGCGCATGCAATTTAAACCAACTTATTATTATCAAACAAGAACTCTTTCCATAAACATAGCTTAAGAACCTTTTATCAAATTTTGCACGAAAGTTACTTTAATATTTGGTTATATTTCGCTAATATAATTGTCTCCTTTTTGTTTAGATACATCGCATTTGGTCCATGCAGTTATGCGCAGATGGTTCCAGAAATGGTTAAAATCATGCGCGCGATATTCAAAGATGCAGGAACCGGGATTGCTATAGACATCTCCGAAAAGGAGTTTGATGGTCGATATTTCCAGCTTGCTTGCAATGTTCAAGCTTTCTCGGACCCAACTCCACCATTCATCACGTTTAAGAGAAATGCGAAGTCTGCAGGTTTAGATGCTGCACAGTTTATGAACCCCGAGGAAAAGTTCGCTACTTTTGGTGGACTCTTTGGTCTCCACTCAAGCATGAACCATTCGTGTGTCAATAACGCGGAGATCCACGACGGTTCTGCCAGTAACAAACCTGGGGTCCACGTCATAGCCAACAGGCCAATCAAAAGAGGGGAAGAAATCAACATCACTTACATTGACACCAGAATGTCGCGCCAAAATCGACGAGCATGGCTCATCCGCTCTTACAATTTTTGGTGTCTTTGTCCCCGATGCCGGTTTGAGGGTGATGACAGCGGGTTCTGTACGAACTGCAACAAGCAGGCGGTGGAGGCTAAACCATTCCTGGGATGTGGAAAATGCCACAGTGCTTGGTACTGTTCTGCTCAGTGTCAGAAATCTGCTTGGAAGCGGGGACACAAAGCCATATGTCGTAAGTATCCCATTGTCCCGTGTACTAACATTTTATTCACTCGCGTTTAACTTTATACTGACAAGTATACAGCGTTTCACAGATCATGCATAGCTTATTTCATTTGTTATTGTCGACAAGGCATTTCTAGGTTAAACAAAAACGTAAAAGATATTGCAATTGAAAACAATCAAGTCAATTTTTACAAGTAACTATTTACGGGCGATGTCTGTTATGATCACGTACTAGAAAATGAAGTGGGGGGTCTACAAAATAAAAATATTACCTTGCCTGAAGTTGAATGGCACTGGGATCAAATACATAAAACAAACTGATGGCTTTTACCGAACTAAAAGCCGAAAATAATTACTTTTGGCTTTAGTGTAAAATCTATAAAAATTAATTCAAGGTTGTTCTTACTGATATTAGTAATCAAGCTATACAATTTGCCAGCAGCAGTAAATAAAAAGGGAATGATACAGGTTACACGTACCTCTTGTTTACGATAAGAGTCCCATTACTTCTCTGTTGAAATGTGTCCTGTTCTTTATATATATATGCATATACTTTTCATTTAACTAACTATTGGTCAAATCAAATTACTTCCATGTATGTTTTCATTATTTTTCAGGGAAACGATGATGGAACAATATTGACTGTGAAGTGATCGCTAATTTCAAACTGCTGCCTTATTTAATTACAGTTAGTAAATGTGTTTTCCTTTTCTTTTCTTTTTTTTGCCCTGCAGGTAGGGCGTAAGAATTGTACCTGCTGCCCCCAATTGCATGATCGTAAGAGGCGACTAAATTTGGGACCTTATCTCTTCTCTCCTTTCTAAATAACTTTCTTCTTCCTAATGTCTCCCTTGACAATGCCTCACTTTTGGCCATTTGTTGAGCGTTCGCCCCTGTGAGGAAGGCTTTGGGTTCTGTCCCCTGGCCGAGACATACCAAAGTCTTTAAAAATGGTAGTTTCTACTCCTGCTTAACGCTCAGCAAATTAGGAGTGGGACGACTGGTTCGCCCGTTGTCAGTATAATGTGACCGGGTGGGGCGTCCTGCTGGGTGTCTTCGGCAGTATGTTTCAGTGAGGTAGCACTATAAAGTCGGCATCAGTTCCGCGCTATCACAAGAAGACAAACATGAACATATCGCAGCCTCCCAAAATACACACACATACACTACACGCATGCATCATCTTGCACACAGGGGAGGCCGTCCTTAAATGACCTTAGCTGTTAATAGGAAGTTAAACAAAATCAAACAAAAACAAACAAACAAACCTTTTCTTTTTTTCTCTTTTTTAAATGTTCCAGTTGGTTAAAGTGTTGTTAGCTTAACGGCATTTAACAAAGAAAAAATAATTGAATTACAGTCTGTGTGCTAAATGATAAAGTCAAACCCCTGTGTGACGCAGTAGCCGTACACCCTCGTACACGCCCGTACAACGTAATAGTTGGTAATAGTCATTGTATAGTCATAGATTGAAATAAACATCTCGTCTACATACATTATATAACCTCGTAACTTCTGCGGTGTGTCGCAAATCTTTGAGCTAAGTAACGTAAGTTGTATCGAACTTATATCTGTCTACCTTTTGAGACATAGACACTCATTCTGTCATCTTAGACGTGAAAACTCTCTCTGGCATCTCTTAGACGTGAACACTCTCTCTGGCATCTAAGACGTGAAAACTCTCTCTGGCATCTCTTAGACGTGAACACTCTCTCTGGCATCTCTTAGACGTGAACACTCTCTCTGGCATCTAAGACGTGAACACTCTCTCTGGCATCTTAGACGTGAGCACTCTCTCTGGCATCTCTTAGACGTGAACACTCTCTCTGGCATCTCTTAGACGTGAACACTCTCTCTGGCATCTCTTAGACGTGAACACTCTCTCTGGCATCTAAGACGTGAACACTCTCTCTGGCATCTAGGACGTGAGCACTCTCTCTGGCATCTCTTAGACGTGAACACTCTCTCTGGCATCTCTTAGACGTGAACACTCTCTTTGGCATCTAAGACGTGAAAACTCTCTCTGGCATCTCTTAGACGTGACCACTCTATCTGGCATTTCTTAGACGTGAACACTCTATCTGGCATCTTAGACGTGAACACTCTCTCTGGCATCTAAGACGTGAACACTCTCTCTGGCATTTTGGACGTGAACACTCTCTCTAGCATCTCTTAGACATGAACACTCTCTCTGGCATCTCTTAGACGTGAACACTCTATCTGGCATCTTAGACGTGAACACTCGCTCTAGCATCTCTTAGACGTGAACACTCTCTCTGGCATCTCTTAGACGTGAACACTCGCTCTAGCATCTCTTAGACGTGAACACTCTCGCTGGCATTTCTTAGACGTGATTACTCTCTCTGGCATCTCTTAGACGTGAACACTCTATCTGGCATCTCTTAGACGTGAACACTCTCTCTGGCATCTTAGACGTGAACACTCTCTCTGGCATCTAAGACGTTAAAACTCTCTCTGGCATCTTGGACGCGAACACTCTCTCTAGCATCTCTTAGGCGTGAACAATCTCTCTGGCATCTCTTAGACGTGAACACTCTATCTGGCATCTTAGACGTGAACACTCTCTCTGGCATATAAGACGTTAAAACTCTCTGTGGCATCTTGGACGCGAACCCTCTCTCTAGCATCTCTTAGACATGAACACTCTCTCTGGCATTTTGGACGTGAACACTCTCTCTAGCATCTCTTAAGCGTGAACAATCTCTCTGGAATCTCTTAGACGTGAACACTCTATCTGGCATCTCTTAGACGTTAACTCACTCTCTGGCATCTAAAATGTGAACTCTCTCTCTGGCATCTCTTAGACGTGAACTCTCTTTCTGGCATCTTAGACGTGAACTCTCTTTCTGGCATCTTAGACGTGAACCCTCTCTGTCATCTTAGACGTGAACACTCTATCTGGCATCTTAGACGTGAACACTCTCTCTGGCATCTAATACGTGAACACTCTCTCTGGCATCTAAGACGTGAACACTCTTCTCTCTCTGGCATCTCTTAGACGTGAACTCGCTCTCTGGCATCTAAAATGTGAACACGCTCTCTGGCATCTTAGACGTGAACACTCTCTATGGCATCTTAGACGTGAACACTCTCTCTGGCATCTAAGAGGTGAGCACTCTCTCTGGCATCTTACACGTGAACACTCTATTTGGCATCATAGACGTGAACACTCTCTCTGGCATCTAAGACGTGAATACTCTTCTCTCTCTGGCATCTCTTAGACGTGAACTCGCTCTCTGGCATCTAAAATGTGAACACGCTCTCTGGCATCTTAGACGTGAACACTCTCTATGGCATCTAAGACGTGAACACTCTCTCTGGCATCTTAGACGTGAACACTCTCTCTGGCATCTAAGACGTGAATACTCTTCTCTCTCTGGCATCTCTTAGACGTGAACTCGCTCTCTGGCATCTAAAATGTGAACACTCTCTCTGGCATCTTAGACGTGAACACTCTCTCTGGCATCTTATACGTGAAAACTCTCTCTGGCATCTTAGACGTGAACACTCTCTCTGGCATCTAATATGTGAACAGTCTCTCTGGCATCTTAGACGTGAACACTCTCTCTGGCATCTAAGATGTAAGCACTCTCTCTGGCATCTTACACGTGAACACTCTATTTGGCATCTTAGACGTGAACACTCTCTCTGGCATCTAGGATGTGAACACCCTCTCTGGCATCTTGGACGTGGACACTCTCTCTGGCATCTCTTAGACGTGAACACTCTCTCTGGCATCTCTTAGACGTGAACACTCTATCTGGCATCTTAGACGTAAACACTCTCTCTTGCATCTTAGACGTGAACACTCTCTCTGGCATCTAAGACGTGAATACTCTCTGGCATCTAAGAGGAGAACATTCCTTCTGGCATCGAAGACGTGGACACTCTCTCTGGCATCTTAGACGTGAACACTCTCTCTGGCACCTAAGATGTGAACACTCTCTGGCATTTTAGACGTGAACACTCTCACTTGCATCTAACATGTGAACACTCTCTGGCAACTTAGACGTGAACACTCTCTCTCTCTGACTTCTAAGCCGCGAACACTATCTGGCATCTAAGACATGGGCTCTCTTTCTGTCATCTAAGACCTGAACACTCTCTCTGACATTTTAGACGTGAACACTCTCTCTGGCATCTAATAAAAGAACACTCTCTGTCATCTAAGACGTGAACACTCTTTTTGGCATCTAAGACGTGGACACTCTCTCTGGCATCTTAGACGTGAGCACTCTCTCTGGCCTCTAATAAAAGAACACTCTCTGTCATCTTAGACGTGAACACTCTCTCTGGCATCTAAGATGTGAACACTCTCTGGCATCTAAGATGTGAACACTCTTTGGCATCTAAGACGTGAACACTCTCTCTGGCATCTAAGACGTGAACACTCTCTGGCATCTAAGATGTGAACACTCTCTGGCATCTTAGACGTGAACACTCTCTCTGGCCTCTAAGATGCAAACACTCTCTGGCATCTAAGATGTGAACACTCTCTCTTTCTCTGGCATCTAAGACGTGAACATTCTCCCAAGCATCTAAGACGTGAACACTCTCCCTAGCATCTAAGACGTGAACACACTCTCTGGCATCTAAGACATGGAAGTTTTGTTTGTTTAAAACATTATGACATGTTCCTTCTGCTGGCCAAAAAAGACTGTCCGTTGAGCAAACCTATCCCTGTTTTATACTTCATTACTGTGTAATCAATTGCTGACCTCTTCGCTGTAGCCCCAAGCTATTCCTTAACTCTTGAATAATATTAGAAAGGAATGTGTATAGATGGCCATCAATAATTTGATATAACGTGTACCTCCTAGACCACTGGCATCTGACACGTTTGTCCGTCAGTTTACCGGCATGTGCTGTTACGCAGTTTGGCCAAGATGTACTCCCGAACTGATTTACTCAGATACTGAATTTCTAACTAATGCAGCACCTTTGCTATTCCCCCTCTGGTAAGCCAACCGTGCTACATTCGTCCCCATGTTCAAAACGGATATACTATACCCCCTCTGGTGAGCCCACCGTGCTACGTTCGTCCCCATGTTCAAAACGTCTATACTATCCCCCCTCTGGTAACCCAACCGTGCTACATTCGTCCCCATGTTCAAAACGTCTATACTATCCCCCCTCTGGTGAGCCCACCGTGCTACATTCGTCCCCATGTTAAAAACTTCTATACTATCCCCCCTCTGGTAAGCCAACCGTGCTACATTAGTCCCCATGTTCAAAATGTCTATACTATACCCCCCTCTGTTAAGCCCACCGTGCTACATTCGTCCCCATGTTAAAAACGTCTATACTATCCCCCCTCTGGTAAGCCCACCGTGCTACATTCGTCTCCATGTTCAAAACATCTATACTATATACCTTCTGGTAAGCCCACCGTGGTACATTCGTCTACATGTTCGAAACATCTATACTATATACCTTCTGGTAAGCCCACCGTGCTACACTCGTCCCCATGTTAAAAACGTCTATACTATATACCCTCTGGTAAGCCCACCGTGGTACATTCGTCCCCATGTTCAAAACGTATAAACTATACACCCTCTGGTAAGCCCACCGTGCAACATTCGTCCCCATGTTAAAAACTTCTATACTATCCCCCCCTCTGGTAACCCCACCGTGCTACATTCGTCCCCATGTTCAAAACGTATATACTATCCCCCCCTCTGGTAAGCGAACCGTGCTACATTCGTCCCCATGTTCAAAACGTCTATACTATCCCCCATCTGGTAAGCCCATCGTGCAACATTCGTCCCCATGTTAAAAACTTCTATACTATCCCCCCTCTGGTACGCCCACCGTGCTACATTCGTCCCCATGTTCAAAACGTCTATACTATACCCCCGCTGGTGAGCCCACCGTGCTACATTCGTCCCCATGTTTAAAACGTCTATACTATACCCCCTCTGGTAAGCCAACCGTGCTACATTAGTCCCCATGTTCGATACGTCCCCACCCCCTCTGGTAAGCCCACCGTGCTACATTAGTCCCCATGTTCAAAACGTCTATACTATACCCCCTCTGGTAAGCCAACCGTGCTACATTAGTCCCCATGTTCAAAACGTCCCCACCCCCTCTGGTAAGCCCACCGTACTACATTAGTCCCCATGTTCAAAACGTCTATACTATACCCCCTCTGGTAAGCCAACCGTGCTACATTAGTCCCCATGTTCAAAATGTCTATACTATCCCCCCTCTGGTAAGTCCACCGTGCTTCATTCGTCCCCATGTTCAAAATGTCTATACTATCCCCCCTCTAGTAAGCCCACCGTGCTACATTAGTCCCCATGTTCAAAATGTCTATACTATCCCCCCTCTGGTAAGCCCACCGTACTACATTAGTCCCCATGTTCAAAACGTCTATACTATCCCCCCCCCCCCCCCCCTCTAGTAAGCCCACCGTGCTACATTCGTCCCCATGTTTAAAACGTCCTCACCCCTCTGATAAGCCCACCGTGCTACATTCGTCCCCATGTTAAACACGTCTATACTATCCCCCCCCCCCCCCCCCTCTGGTAAGCCAACCGTGCTACATTAGTCCCCATGTTCAAAATGTCTATCCTATCCCCCCTCTGGTAAGCCCACCATGCTACATTCGTCCCCATGGCCAAAACGTATATTTTATACCCACTCTGGTAAGGCTACCGTGCTACATTCGTCCCCATGTTCAAAACGTCTATACTATCCCCCCCTCTGGTAAGCCCACCATGCTACATTCGTCCCCATGTCCAAAACGTATATTTTATACCCACTCTGGTAAGCCCACCGTGCTACATTCGTCCCCATGTTCAAAACGTATATACTATCCCCCCTCTGGTAAGCCAACCGTGCTACATTCGTCCCCATGTCCAAAACGTATATTTTATACCCACTCTGGTAAGCCAACCGTGCTACATTAGTCCCCATGTTCAAAACGTATATACAACTTCAAGTTAGAGTTCATTAAATGTTATTCAATTATTATGTCTACATGTTTTGTTAAAGTTTGGTAGACCTCACTTTGTCACTCCTGATAATGAAGTTATCTTATAAACGTAATAACAATAGGTATCCAAACAGTTCAAACAGATCTCAGAAATCTGTTTTAGTAAATAGTTAAGCTAACAACACTTTCTACACCTGGCTTCGTGTGTCTTTTACATATTTATTATGGGCATTTTCAATATTGTGTCACGTCATAAATATAGAACCCATACTGTAATAAATTTTGGAGTGATAAGTTTTGCTTATGGCTTTGCAACTCTTCTCGGTGTGAATGTTTCCAAATTGACAAGAATGCTGCATTATATATCACAAAACACACCGATAATTCCGGGCCAACTAGGTTTATATGTATATGTTGATTATTTTGTTACAATAGGTTTGTTATTACTGTATGTATATATACTTGTATGCTCTGTACTTATAGACCGAAAGGTTTAAAGTGATAAAAGTAATGAATATTATTGAATGATATCATCATTATCATCAAGCACTGATAAATTTAGTCGGCATCAGTTATGCATGGAATGTATATAAAATGTCACTTGTGTATTATACATGACGCGACAATGAATAAAACAAAGAAAATCAAATTGTTATTTGTGTCATCGATATTGTGAAGTAGTTGGGATATCGTTATTTATAATTAAATGCCTCTATGTTCAGGAAAGAAGAGTAAAATTTCCAGCTACTAAATAAAATAAACTGGTGTAATTGTCTAAATTGAACCGATAATTCCGTATATGGGCGCGGCCTAATAACAGCAGCGTGCCTAATTGAACAGTATTACAATTCGAAAAGAATATGCTATGCGGAGTTCCGAGAGACACAATTTTCCATTTTATGATTGAAAAGAGATACAAAGTACTCGAGAAGTAATTTAATATGTGGTTCATTTGTTAGATTGGATTGAAAAATATTAATATCATGTATTTAAAAATATGTCATTAAGCTAAGCTAAACGGGATTAATGATAACAGTAGTAACCTAAATGATATACAGTAACGCCTCTATATAATGTCCTTCGTTTATATATAATTAAAAACCTCAGTATAATGTCCCTCGTTCATATACAGTAAAACCTCGATATAATGTCCCTCGTTTATATACAGTAAAACCTCAATATAATGTCCCTCGTTTATATATAATTAAAAACCTCGATATAATGCCCCTCGTTCATATACAGTAAAACCTCGATATAATGCCCCTCGTTTATATACAGTAAAACCTCAATATAATGTCCCTCGTTTATATAAATTTAAAAACCTCGATATAATGCCCCTCGTTCAAATACAGTAAAACCTCGATATAATGTCCCTCGTTTACATAAAGTAAAATCTCGATTTAATGCCCCTCGTTTATTTACAGTAAAACCTCGATATAATGCCTCTCATTTATATATACATTTAAACCTCGATATAATGCCCCTTGTTTATATACAGTAAAACCTCGATATAATGCCCCTCGTTAATATATACATTTAAACCTCGATATAATGTCCCACGTTTATTAACAGTAAAACCTCGACATAATGCCCCTCGTTTATATACACAGTAAAACCTCGATATAATGCCCCTCGTTTATATACAGTAAAACCTCGATATAATGTCCCTCGTTTTATTTACCATTTTGTTTACCGCCTACATATAGCAATGTCCCGTTTTCTAGTTTTCTAAATAATTCCTTTAAACACTTCCCTCAATTTATCACCAAACCCTTTTATTATGCCAAATTTGTATGGATAAAAATACTGGCAGTATAACCTCGCTATATTGTCCCTCGTAACATTTGCCTCACTGTTTACTGCAAACATTTGTTCACGTTCCGTTTTTTCTGTTTATAAATCCGTAGTGACAGATTTGTTTGTTGGTTAATTCTTGAAGGTACATTTGGTACGGCTGAGTTTAACGGTATCTGATGATGGGTACTTATAACAAAGTTTGCGGTTTGAAGAGATTTTATGGTTGTTGACCAATACGTGTAACACATAAATAGCATGTGTCCAATTAGCATGTCATCACATGTTATAATTCATGTTAGTGGTGTCTGGAATAAATACAAAACCACCAACTTACTGCAGTACAAAATTTATTAGGAACACACTTGAAGAAAGAAAAGCAAACTGATAGGAAAATGTCTTTATAATGTTATCAAAGCAGTAAAGTCATGGAGAAAAACGGTGTCCATTGTCCACTATCCATCCACGTGTCTCTTCTTACCGTCAAGCTACGAAAAGAAAATATTGATACAAGATTCGAACCTCACCCACACAGAAACTTTTTCATATTTGGCAAAACAACATTTTTTTATATTGAAATAATCAATTTCCCAATGTTTGGCAGATTTTAATTTCAATTTGAGAATGTATTTATTCATATTTCCCATATAGTGTTTCTCAGCATTTGAACTAACTCGTGTTAGTTACACACTCTCTTACAAATATCGGACTTGCTAAAGATGAAATAATCGAAATGATAAAAGGTCATGAAACCCTACATTTTAATATTTTGCCATAAGACATGTTTTAAAAGTTTATAGGTAAAAAAATGGCGGACGATAAAATTACCGTCTACGGTTTAAGCTTGTCTAACCCGACCTCTTGAGTACACTGACATTCTTTTTAATCTAGTTTAATGCTGTAATCGCATTTTTTTATAAAAAAAAAACTACCAAATCCGACACCTTATCTTATCTGACCAATATGTTGTGTCCTACAGGGTGTCAGATAAGACAGGTTTCACTGTATTTGTGTTTCAGTACTAAATCTATGTTACCTTAGATCCATGTCTTCTAACATGTTCCGGCTGTGAAGCTGGTGAAACCACTGTACCGAAAAACAAAGAACAAAAGTAGATAACGTTTTAACTGGTTATACAGAAGTACGGCTGAAACGATTCATCGAATCTTATCGCGATACTTTCTTGTGTATCGATTCAAATTATTTACTTTGCCTGTATCATGAACCACTAACGATGCTGATATTATCAATCAAGTTCTTATTAAACTTTAAAATAAGTATATTTATTGTTTTGGAATACTTCAGTAAAGATGTGGTCCACTGCGAAGTACTAACAATCACACAAAAGTGAATTTGTATGTCTGTAAAATTCTACACACAATCATTATAAAGTTTACTTCTTAATCAAATATGTATCGGATCGTGGACACTGTACCGCGATACGTATTGTATCGAAAACACTATACAGCGATATGTATTGTATCGGATACACTGTTCCGCGATACGTAATATATCGGAGACGCTGTACCGCGATTCGTATTGTATCGGATACATTGTACCACAATACATATTGTATCGGAGACACTATACCGTGATACATGTCGTATCGTGGACATTGTACCGCGATACGTATTGTATCGGATACACTGCACCGCGATACGTATTGTATGCATATATTTTGGCCCAAAGAAGCGCCGACTAAGCTAATCCCAACGGAAATATATAACTATATTTGAGATTAGCGGCAAAGAGGTATGGCGAAAAACTGCCCGTATTTCCCTAAGTCGGCATTTATGAAAACGGGAAAAAAATAAGGAGTAAAACATTTCGTGTAGCAAGAATGCATACAAAAGATACAAAACCAATTGAATATGAATTTTTAAACTGCTGAGAAATTAGGTATTGCTAATATGATACTGCAAATTTAGCCATATACACTATATCTATGAAAGTGATGGGGTTTCCCGGAGTTAAAAAAATACTTTCAACACTTTCCCATCCGAGGACCAACTTTTGAATAAACTTTTTGTGACAAAAAAACAAATCGTATTACGGAAAAGTGGTCCTCCTTTGGGAAAGTGCTCAAAATAATGAAAAACAGGGGTGATCAAGTTTCTCTAAACTGCGACCGGTGTTTCTCGGGTTAAATAAGTTTGTAATTGCCAATATCTATATGTTCTATGTAGCCGAATGTGTAACGTAGTTTACTTGCGACTAGAAAATAAACGGTGAAGGTTCGAACCTCCTTCAGTTTTTTTTTTTTTAAATATTTAGGCATGTGATCATTTTCCTTAATAAGGCAATGGTGTTTTTTTTAAATCGATGGAAGATTTTGTTTACATTTTAATAACATACCTATTGATTTATCAGTTTTGTTAGTAATAATTTCTTTACTATTTAGTGCGACATACTTCTATCGAAGCATGTCAACAAATTCCTGTACACGTGTACAGTACAGCTACGCTTTGTAGGTAAGACACTATTTTTGATGAAATTTATGAATTGTTTTACCCTCCAACTGGCAATAGTAATTATATCAAGTGCTTAAACACCAACAAATAATGCCGAAATACCAAATATGTGGTCTGTTTACAATAATCTATTCTTAGACACGGGATTCCGATATTGCTACCTGTATAAAATACCTGAGGACGCGTCATAACAGTGCACGGTTGGATGCGCGCACTAGCGTAACATAGCTTTGGGGAAATAGGCATAGCAGCCCGCCATATCTCTTTACTTAGAATTTAAACCAACAAGTGAAATAATGTGTGATAAGAGTATTACACAGGAGTGTTAGATACGAGTATTAAACAGGATTGAGAGAGTATTACACAGGAGTGAGAGATACATGTATTACACAGGAGTGAGAGATACGAGTATGACACAAGAGTGAGAGATATGAGTATTACACAGGAGTGAGAGATACGAGTATTACACAGGAGTGAGAGATACGAGTAGAACACAGGAGTGAGAGATACGAGTATAACACAGGAGTGAGAGATATGAGTATTACACAGGAGTGAGAGATATGAGTATTACACAGGAGTGAGAGATACATGTATTACAGATGAGTGAGAGATACGGGTATTACACATGAGTGAGAGATACGATTATGACACAGGAGTGAGAGATACGAGTATTACACAGGAGTGAGAGATACGAGTATAACACAGGAGTGAGATATACGAGTATTACACAGGAGTGAGAGAGATAGGAGTATTACACAGGAGTGAGAGATACATGTATTACACAGGAGTAAAACATACGAGTATGACACAGGAGTGAGAGATACGAGTATTACACCGGGGTGAGAGATACGAGTATTACACAGGAGTGAGAGATACGAGTATTACACAGGAGTGATTGATACGAGTATTACACCGGAGTTAAAAAAATACTTTCAACACAGGAGTGATTGATACGAGTATTACACAGGAGTGAGAGATCAGAGTATTACACAGGAGTGAGAGATACGAGTATTACACGGGAGTGAGTGATACGAGTATTACACATGGGTGAGAGATACGAATAATACACAGGAATGAGATATACGAGTATTACACAGGAGTGAGTGATACGAGGTATTACACAGGAGTGAGAGATACGAGTATTACACAGGAGTGAGTGATACGAGTATTAAACAGGGGTGAGAGATACGAGTATTACACGGGAGTGAGAGATACGAGTATTACACAGGAGTGAGTGATACGAGTATTACACAGGGGTGAGAGATACGAGTATGACACAGGAGTGAGAGATACGAGTATTACACAGGAGTGAGAGATACGAGTATTACACAGGAGTCAGATATACGAGTATTACACAGGAGTGAGTGATACGAGGTATTACACAGGCGTGAGAGATACGAGTATTACACAGGAGTGCGAGATACGAGTATTACACAGGAGTGAGTGATACGAGTATTACACAGAAGTGAGAGATACGAGTATTACACAGGAGTGAGTGATATGAGTATGACACAGGAGTGAGAGATACGAGTATTACACAGGAGTGAGATATACGAGTATTACACAGGAGTGAGAGATACGAGTATTACACAGGAGTGAGAGATATGAGTATTACACAGGAGTGAGATATCCGAGTAGTACACAGGAGTGAGAGATATGAGTACGACACAGGAGTGAGAGATATGAGTATTACACAGGAATGAGATATCCGAGTATGACACAGGAGTGAGATACGAGTATTACACAGGAATGAGATATCCGAGTATTACACAGGAATGAGTGATACATGTATTACACAGGAGTGAGAGATACATGTATTACAAAGGAGTGAGATATACGAGTATTACACGGGAGAGAGATACATGTATTACAAAGGAGTGAGAGATACGAGTATTACACAGGTGTTAGATATAAGCAATCACGAAGTGAATGATTTTTTCTCATTTTATTTAAGTAACGTGTTAAAAAGAATTTTCAAGTCGTTTTTATTTTATATTGCACCTATGGAACTCGTCCCAGAGTTTTCTCAGAAGTTCCACAGTGTCTCTGTAATACACATATACAAATCTAAACACGAATAATAAATTGTAAAAAAACTAATTGTAAGATGAGACGTTGGTTACGTACTTGCATCTTGCCAAACACTTGTTGTTGAAAGACCGTCCGTTGGAGCAGACAGGCTTGTATTCCCTTGTACATGGACAGGAAAAAGGGGCGGGGGTTTCCTCGGCCGGAACTGGAAACAAAAAGGTGAAGAAAGTTACGTGAATCCTCAGAAGTGTTTATATCAGTCTTTTTGTAGTTAGCTAATTACTTGTTTAATTTGATCGAAACTCCGCCAATAAAACAGCTCTACACTCTACAAATTATGTCCAGTTGATATCCAGTTATAATAAACACGTCTCAGCGCGTCAGGTCGTCACCAATACAACACTATTAAAGTGGAACTCGATAGGGAGAATAATGGAAATAAGGGGTAACAAGGTGTATTTGGTGTATACCGACCAACTCGCGTGTACTTATAGAGCGGTGGATGTAGTAAAGTGCTTACAGTTGTTTCGGTATATGCTGTAACATGTAACTTATAGAGCGGTGTATGTAGTAAAGTGCTAACAGTTGTTTCGGTATATGCTGTAACATATAACTTATAGAGCGGTGTATGTATGAAAGTGCTTACAGTTGTTTCGGTATATGCTGTAACATGTAACTTATAGAGCGGTTTATGTAGTAAAGTGCTTACAGTTGTTTCGGTATATGCTGTAAA